ATCACCTTGCTTGACTCCTCTAGTAGATTTAAAAAAAACCATATGGCTGGTCATTGATCAACACAGAGTACCATTTGTTTGATACTATACCATACGCAACACCAATAAATCTCTCACAAAAACCTGTTTTCCTCAACACCTTAGTCATGAAAAGCCATGAAAGCCTATCATATGCTTTAGTCATGTCTAATTTGATGACAACATTAGGTCCAACCTTAGTTCTTAACCTAATTTGAGTGATAATTTCCTGTGTCAATAGTACATTCTCAACAATACTCCTTCCTCTAACAAAACCAGCTTGTTCATCAGAGATGAGAGAAGGTAGCAAAGTGATAAGTCTTTCATGAATAACTCTTGAGAACACCTTATTAATAAATTTTCTAAGGCGAAAATGTATTCACTTCCTTTTTCTTAGGCAGAAGTTCTAAGTTTGTGTGACTCACAAATTTAGGTAACTCCTGGCCATTAAAAAATTCTCTCACCATAGCATAAACATCATTACCTATGATCTCCCAACAACAATGAAAGAACTTACCGGTGAAGCCACCTGGACCTCCAGCACTTTCTCCATTTAGGCCAAAAACAACAAATTTGACCTCCTCTTTTGTAGGTTGCCTTATCAGATCTTGATTTTGCTCCATAGTAACCATTTAGGGACATGATCTATGATTCCAAATGCAGTAGGGACAACATTTTCTTTAAACTGTGCTTGAAAGAACTTGAATGCTTCTTCTGCTAATGGCTCATTTCCTTCAATCCAGTTGCCTTCACTATTTTGAATCCTCCTTATTTGTAATCTCCTTGTCCTCCCCTTTACTTGAGCATGAAAGAGTCTGGTATTTCTATCCCCATCTTTAAACCATGCCATGCCTGATTTTTGCTTCCAGAACTCCTCCCCCAGTGACAAGTATCTGATTAACTCTGCCTGGACTCTGTGCAACCTTTCTTGTTGAGTTGTGTTGGATATAATTCAAATTGAGCCTCATGCACCAACACCACCTCTTCTAAACTAGCAATTTTCTGAAAAATATCCCATACGTAGCTTTACTCCATGTTGAAAGAGCTCTCTTCAATTTCTTCAATTTGTGATTGTGGATAATAAAAGGATTAGCACAAAAATCCACTTGCCAATTTTCTCGCACAACATCTTGGAATGAAACGTGATCTTTCCAGAAATTAAGGAATTTAAACTGCTTCTTGATAGGCGTGAACTGTGGATCACAAGTGATTAATAAGGGGCTATGATCGGAGCCAATCTTGGACAGATGAGTGATTCCAACCCCCAGAAACAATTGCTCAAACTCGAAGTTGGCCAGAACCCTATCAAGCCTTTAAAGATGCAATCTTCTTCAGCTTTACCATTCCACCAAGTAAATATACTTCATTTGAAGCCAAGATCATGCAAATTGCAAGTAGATGCAATATCTAAAATCGTCTACTTCATTCAATGACACAGGAAGACCTCCATATTTCTCCTCCTCATCCCATATCACATTGAAATCTCCTCCAACAATCCATGGGATAGTCATATCCAAAGCCAAATCATATAATGTATCCCATAGTTCTATCCTTTCAGTTGCATCACATATGGCATAAACTAATGTGAGAATTAGTTCCTTGTGAGAACTAGAGTCAACAAGCTTTAGAGTAAGCTGTTATTCCATATCAAATAGGATTGTAACATTATGTCCATCATCTACCAAGGCCAAGATTTTGTTAGAAACATTCACAAAGTCTTGGGCAAATCCAATTATCCTTCTATATCTTTCAACTTCCTAGCTTGTTGCATTGGTTCCATCATCCCCATAAATCTGAAATGCTGCTGCTGATGCATTGTAATAAGTCATTCAAAAGCTTTCTTTGTCTTCACAGATCAGATGTTCCAGATTATAGCATTCATATTTAATTGGTGGATTTAGAAAGTGTCCTTCTAGTTTGAACTCCAATGTTAGAAACAATAGAAATTTCCTTTTGCTGCTTCTTTCTATCCTTTCCAGTCGACTTTGCCTTGTCCAAATGCCTGGGAGACAAGTCACCCTGTCGAGCAACCTTCCTGAAATTGTGAGTAATGGACTCTTCATCCATATCTTTCCCTTTTCCTTCTACGTTGTCTTCCTCCTCCAGTGCAGCTGTTTGTTTTGTAAGTTGAGTCTTCACTGGCTTAGGCACCACTGCCTTGCTAGTATTCTCCTTTTCTTCATTCAAGACCTTGTTAACTGGAACCTTGTTCCCTTGCAAATCAGTGTTAGGGTTAGGGTTTACTGTCGCTGGGGTTTGGACAGTAGTGTTAGGGTTCATATCTGGAGTGACAACTAGTGTTACAGTAGGGTTAGGGTTCACCTTTGATTGTATCATCTTTCTATCAGTAGGTTTGGGATCTAATTCAGGTGCCTTCAACTCGATGTTTTTGCATGCTTCTTCATTCTTATCAACATCATCTTCCTCGTCGTCTCCTTCAAAAAGCACACCTTCATCTGACTTGTGATCACTCACCTGGCCATTATCTTCTTCTTTGTCCTGGTCATATTCTGAATGTAGCTCACCTTCCTCCTCTGATTCTTCTTCAACCTGTTGACTCCATAGTCGTCCCATCAGTGGATTACCAGTAGCAACATATTGTATAGGTATTTCTTTGTTTGACTGAATAGTCGTACCAACTTGCTTCAGATACGCCGTTTTTTGTTCAATATTAACCATGCCATTATTTTCCTTTGATACCCCAATCCCATTAGAATTAGGATTACACCTTGCTTCTTGAGTATCCAGAGGTTGAGCTGTACTTTCTTTGCACACCTATTTAGAGGTATCTAGGTTACCACCAAAAGCTCTAGTAACCCATTGTGCAGTGGTTTCTTTTCTTTTGTTCCTGCTTGTGACTTCCCATTCCCTTTAACGGTAGCATCACCACCATCCTTCACCGCCTTACTCCCAGGCGAATATGGTTTGAAAACCTCTGCTGCTGGGTTCAGCTTCCCATTACTCTTAGGATTAGGTTTAGGGCTTCGAGTATCAGTAGTAACCTCCACCAAAGCCAGCTGATTACTGTCATCTTTTTCTCCTTCTTCCACCTCTAAAGCTGCATATTTATTAGAAGTTGGAACCTGTTTACCTACTCCTTTGTCAGCTGGAACTATTTCCTTTCCAGTTTTATCATGAGCATCATCTTGATTATCAATAGTTTTTACTCGTTTGTCCTTGACCTCTTTCCATTGTTCCTTTGGATTACCAACAACCTTGTCACTAGTAAGAATCATCAAGGGACCCTTTTCTCTTCCTGTTTCATCCGCATTGTCCTGCACAGTTTGCTTTGCATTGCCATTGCCTTCCATCAATTCCGGATGTAATCTCCAACATTCCTCCTCATTGTAACCTTGCAACCTACATTCCATGCAATACTTAGGGATGTAATCATATCAAATCTTCACCTATTCAGATCTTGTTTCTCCAAAAATTTCATTCACAATATCCATGCGTACACCCTTAGGTAGGTCAGCCAAAAGATCAACTAGTACCTTCACCCTTGCACAACTTGGTCTTGTTTTATTGATGGTTGCCATATCTAAATGCAATGGTTTTCCTACTGCTGAAGCCAATGGAAATAAGCACCCTTTCACAAAGTAAGTGGGCAACAGTTTTGGGAACGAAATCCATGCCATTGGCAACGGGGTTTCATCATTAACTTTGAACTTTGAATCATAAATTAATGGACGCATTTGATATTGATACCCATCTTTTGCTTTCAAGTAATAAACTCCCCTTGAAGTTAAATTCACATAATCTTCCCACAATGTCAATCTAATAAGAACATGCCTGTCCCTTAGAAACCAACATTACATTCACCCTTAATTCCACATTGAGAAGGAATTATTTTACGTAGCTCTTGTAATTCAGGCCAGCCGTATGAAAACTTACCAACCACTGCATATTGAAGTCCTTCTATAATGTTCATGCGATATACTTCAGCTTCTGTCCACTTGATAATAGGTTCTCCATGCAAAAATTGAATTGGCTTAACGAGAATAGGCGCAACTTGAGAACTAGGGTTTACGTGCATAGCCGTATTTAATGAACTAGGTTTCAAAAGATTCGAGAAATCTAGGGGTTGAGTAGCGTTCGTGTCAGGGTTGTTGGATGGTATTTTGGTTGGAGAAAGCAGACCAGCCATGGAGGATGGCTGGCCGCCGGCCAAATTGGCCATAAGGGGACTGTCGCCAGAGATCGCCTCTCAATCGCCAAAGTCGCCGAAAGAAATCTCTCTAGGTTTCGCAACTTCAGCTGGATTTGAGTATCTGGCTAAGTTAATTGGAGTTAGTAGATTTTTTACCTTTTTCCCCTAAGTTCATACGTGAACACTTTAATCTTTCAATTATTTATGGAGTACTACTTTAGTTTGTTAGGGAAGGGGGGACACCTATCGCACTTAGTAATTGCCAGCTGGGTTGTTGTTGCTTTTTAAAAATCTCTGTATTGGACAGATGGATTATGCTGAATGAAGAATTTCCGTTTGTCCTATTTCTTTCTAGTCATTTTTAGCCTAAGCATTTTACTGTTGCATTGCGCATCGACGAGCTTTGTAACAATCTTTATCAAAAGACTTGTTTCTGGCGATATATATGTCTTCCTCTCCATGATGTTGACTCAGTTTTGATCCAATAATTTTTTGGAGAGTGATTGTCTGAAAACTCAGTTTGATCGGATTTAGCTTGAGTCTACACCTTCTCTCTCTTGATTTTTCATGTGGGCCATGATGAGTTGGCATTTTATCTCTAATTCCTGATATTCAGGTGTACTTGAAGTTCCTCTAGTCTGTTCTTAAGCTATTCACTAAAGGAGGATATTGTTTATATAGTTCACACAATAGTAATGGGGTGTGTTGAATCACATTAAAAAATGAGTTGCTCCTGGTTTGTTTAATTAACTTAGCCTACAAAATATGTTCTGGGTTTCTTTTTTACTTAAACACACACACACACATAGAGCTAAACTGATGCTTCATTCAGATGTTTTCTTCTCCAAATGGAAACCAAAGTCAACAAAACATGGAAGGGAAAAAACATTGCCTACTTATTTCTGCAAGCAATCCTTATCCGTTGCCTACACCAGTTTATCGACCACAGATGCAGAAACTGGAGCAGAACGAAAATACTGAAACACAAACAGATAGTCGACTATCTGATGCTGAGACAGTTGCGAAGGCACTCCCTCAGGTACTGATCTAAAGCCTTTTGCATTTTCATAATCTTGGTCTTCCCCTCGCATATTCTGCTTCATCCTTCACTAACAAGTTACTCTTTCCCTTGCAGTGCTCTGTTTCCCTGTCAGTTATATGCCCAAAACAGCTTTCAAAACTAAGAGCAGTATATAATGCGGTAATTGTGCCAACTTCATTGATTTCTTTCCGTTTCTTTATTAGGGTCAAAGCCTGTCTTTATTGTGTTGAAACTTGACTGTTTTTTTATTTCTGTGACCTACAATAATTATTGTCTTCAACTTTTCCTAGTTGCGGATTAACTTCCTGCATGCTCTTTCCGACCTCTCTAGATATTATATTAGTACTCTCTGTTGAACTGGGAAATTGCTAACTTTGGTACTCATTTACCATAATACTATGTTCAGGATTGGAGCAAGTAACATGTTTTGAATGATTTCTGTACCACATATTATATATTCTTGGAATGTCATTAACGGAACAATCTTTGGTGTGCTTCTCACTCTTTCGATACTTATGTTGTGGCAAGCATTTCACTAGTTAAAAACTATGAATTTATGACAGAACTCTCTAATTTGATTCAGCCTTCATGATTATCACTTGGTCTTAAATAGAGAAAAGTGATGCATGTGGACTTTATAGTTCCATTTGTTTCAAACTCTATGCTTGTTCATTAGAAGTAAGAATATCCATGAGCTCCACAATAACATCCTCCTACTAACTTATCCCTTTAAGGTTAGTTAAAGGAAGGCGGAAGAGAAGATGCAGGGCATGGGATGTTGTTCCTCTAGCACTCATGTGGGTTCTTTGGAGTGAGAGGAATAGGAGAGCTTTTGATGTAGTAGAGAAAGATTTTGTACACTTGAGGAGTAGCCTCTTTTCCCTTATTTATTTTTGGTGCACCTTTGAGGTTCCTGTTTGCATAGAAGATTGGGTATCATTCGTAGAAAACCATGTCCTCTTGTAAGGTTTTCTACTTTTGGGTACACTCCTTGTATACGGGCATCTTTTTGCCCCCTTTGTAATGAAATTTATTACCTTATCAAAATAAAAAACTTATCCCTTTAAGGTTGACTGTTGCAAAAATACTTCTTCATTTTCGGAGTCCAAATTTGAGAATATGCAGCATACTATAGCTATGGAGAAACATTTAGCTTTACTAAGTGCTTAAAAATGATCAGCCTTTTAATCGTGGATAATGTATTTATCGTCTTAAATTATCTTCAAATCACCCATGATATTATGTTCTTACATTCTATTAGTTCAATGGTTCTCGACAGTAGGCTCTGTCTTCCATGAAAGGGAGATGGACTTATAATCCTCCTCACTCAGCATACACTCCTATCCCGCTAGTCTTAGTGCTGGAGCTATGAAAAATGGAATGCCCCATTTTCCAACTTCTCATTTTGTTTTATACTGAGTGTGAACTTGTATGGAGAATATGCAGCATACTATAGCTATGGAGAAACATTTAGCTTTACTAACTGCTTAAAAATGATCAGCCTTTTAATCGTGGATAATGTATTTATCGTCTGAAATTATCTTCGAATCACCCATGATATTATGTTCTTACATTCTATTAATTCAATGGTTCTCGACAGTAGGCTCTGTCTTCCATGAAAGGGAGATGGACTTATAATCCTCCTCACTCAGCACACATTCCTATCCCGCTAGTCTTAGTGCCGGAGCTATGAAAAATGGAATGCCCCATTTTCCAACTTCTCATTTAGTTTTATGCTGAGTGTGAACTTGTATGGATACAGGGAAAACGCAATCCACGAGCAGCTGACCCGCCAATTGATACAGCTAAGAATCCAAACTTTCTTGTTTTGATTTCTGAAAATTTCATCGAGGCTCGTGCTGCTTTTAGTCGCTCTGGAATGACCAATTTGACGTCAAACCAAACCCCTATCAAAATGGATGTGCCTTCTATTCCGCCAGTTTCCGTGCCACCATCAATTTCTAATTCAGCAGGTTTGTGTAATTTTTTTGAACTTATTTTCCGGCTTTATCATCCTATAGGAGCGTTTGCTCAGGCTAATGTTACCTTATTCATAGATTTGCATGCTCTTCTTTTACTCTTCCATGTTGGACATAGTATTTTGGTGAATAGAAATAGAGGAATGCGCACCAAGAGGATATGTCCGAATGCGCAAAAAAGAAAAATGAACAATTAACAGAAATATCCCCCACTTTCTTTGGAAGTTGGCACACTTAATTTGGTAGTTGGCAGGGTCAAGCTGTTGAACAGACTAACCACTTAACACCATATAAAAACAAGTAAAACCACTGTATAAACGTTTTTATGAAGAAACCACTGTGTAAACTTTATTCAACCTGATATATCTTGGGAACAGTTCACTCTGCTGTGCATTTTCTTTGTGTTAACTTGCTCATGCTTGATTTGTTCCATTTTTAGAGTTCAAGCTTGGCCTTTTGGATAGACAACTGATTGCTAAACTATTCAACTCTCTGTTTAGCTGTAGTATCTTCTGTCTTTTGCTAAAATGTCAATTTTTACTCTCCTAGTCGTTCCTCGATTAGGTTGAGGTGTACATGTGGGCATGTGGTGATGATACTTTTGGCTTCTTTACATTTAGCTCTTTTATCTTTTCTGAGGATTAGTAAGTTACATCATCTTGAATACTGTTTAAAATTACAGTTTTAGCTAATAACTTAATATAGGTCCAAAAAATCATCTCCTCTGGTACGACATGCATACTAGATCAATTTTTAAAGATACTCGTGTATTGTAATATAGATCATCCTGGGATATATGGATTACTCCCCAATGCTTTTGTTGAAGGATACTGATTTTCTTTTCTATTTACCTCTCAGCAAATGGATCTGTTATGAGCCGACAACCAATTTCTGCTGGAAATATTCCTCCTGCAACTGTAAAAATTGTAAGACTCAACAACTTGTACACCTGCTTGGTATCCAGACATTACTGTAGATGCTATGATCTTATAACATATGTTTTCAGGAGCCCACCACCGTGACCTCCATGAATGGGCCTGCATTTTCACATATTCCATCTGTTCGTCCTGCTCTTCAACCTGTTCCAAGCTTGCAAACTTCTTCTCCTCTTTCTGTTTCTCAGGAGATGGCATCACATAATGAGAATGTTCAGGAGATGAAACCCATAGTCAGTGGCATGACACAGTCCTTACGTCCAGTTGCTGCAGCCGCAGCAAATGTCAGAATCCTGAACGATGTTGCTCAAGCACGCCAAGCAATAGCTGGGGCAACTTCTATAGGCCTGCAATCTATGGGTGGCACCCCTATGCTTTCAAGTATGATATCTAGTGGAATGGCATCTTCCGTCCCTTCTGCCCAAACTGTATTTTCATCTGGGCAATCAGGTGTCACAACAGTAAGTGGGTCAGTTCCATTATCAGGCAGTGGGCAGAATACGCAAAATTCAGCTCCTGCTTCATTCACTTCGACTGCTCCCAGTATGTCTGGGAATCCAAACATTAGCATTTCACAGCCTTTGAGTAATAACCAAGGAGGCATTAGTATGGATGGTCAAACAGTTCCTGGAATGTGCCAAGGTAATCTACCAGGCACACAAATGATGCCAAGTGGGACAGGAATGAACCAGAATATGCTGACTGGGTTGGGTGCAACTGGTATGCCTTCCGGAACCGGCACAATGATGCCTACTCCAGGGATCTCTCAACAAGGACAGCCAGGCATGCAACCTGTTGGTAATAGCACAGGAGCTAACATGCCTCTATCTCAGCAGCAAACACCTGCTGCATTGCCTTCAGCTCAATCAAAATATGTAAAAGTTTGGGAGGTAAGACCGATTAATCTGTAGAAAATGCTGAAGTTGGACAGTGACTCTGTTCCTACAAAAACTAACTCATCCTTTTAATTTTTCCTTGTCTTAACAACAGATAAAATAGGAATCATAGTTAGATCTTCTTTAAGTAGGGGCGGCCTTAGACTGCTAGGGGTTTATGTTGTGTTCTAACTATCCTTACGTTTTCATAGCATCGGGGCTTATTTTCTAGTTTTGTTACTACATTTCAACTATTTTTTAGTTCCTATGATGCTGTTATTATATTTTTGGTTTCTGTCTGATGGTACTAATATATTGTCCCTTCCCTTCTCTTCTCGTTTTTTCCGTCTTCTTGAGCCGAGGGTCTTTCGGAAACAACCTTTCTACTCCTTCGGGGTAGGGGTAAGGTCTGCGTACACACTACCCTCTTCAGACCCCACTTGTGAGATTTTAGTGGGTCATCGTTCTTGTTGTTTCTGCTGGCAGTTTTTGTTTAGCTTTAAATGAGTTAGTCTCTAATTTAGAAATCCTTTGGCAGTACAATCTCTGCTGAGATTTCTATATCCGATTCTTCAAAAAATGGAATTTTATGCTTTTTTCCAACCATTAAATATATAAGCTTGATTTAACGTATGTGGTTTTTTGACAAAGAACTCTGTCGATTTCTGTTCTGTTATGTGGTGTAACAATATAGTGATTTTAGTATAACAATCCAGGGCCACAATGCCAAAGATTTTGTATTGTGGTTGTAGCAGTTTAGGTGCGATATTTGGTGATTATGATTTAATGGGAGCTTTTAAGGGCTCTCCCTTAGTCTTTGGTGGGTTGCTGTAGGCTGCAACCATTTCCGGGGGGAAACCAGCTATCAAGTATCACAACCAATCTTCATCCTTTTCATATGCTGTTGGATTTGCAACTGTAAATTGTAAATTGATGTTTTTGGGGCGTTGTATTGAAAATATTTTGCACCATTTCCCGGGATACCAGCCATGAAGAATCACAACCGATTTCATCCTTTCATATGCTGTTGGATTTGCAACTGTAAATGTCTAATTTGATGTTTTTGGGGTGTTTGGTACTCAATTGCCTGTATTACTTGATTATTATAGTGCAGCTCTATTCAAGAGGGGTATTTGAGTAGTTTCCTTGTAATTATGTAAATTGACAAAGACAACTTTAAACTGTATTTAGAAATGAATGTATGCTCTACTAAAGTAGATTTTGTGGAAAATCAGCTTTTCAATCTTGGTTGGCTCTTCACCCCTGCACTACCGAGTGGTTAGTCTTTGGATTTCTTCTCCGTGACTCGTTTCAGATGTTAATCTTAGAACCATGTACCTAATATGCCTGATGTAAATACAACAGAGAAAATCAAGGATGGCATACTGAAGGTAGGATGGAGTTTGATTTTGCGGATAGGGTGGGGTGATTGGTAGTATGTGGGTTGTTGAAAATAGTATAATTCATGCTTTTCATAAAAAAATTATATATTTCATGATGGTGCTTCCCAGTTGCATTTTTGGGAAACTGAAACAAAAACTTTGCCATGCAAAAGATAGTCTGATTATTCTTCCAAATTGATGGTAAATGTTGAAGAATGCTTACACATAAACTTGCTTAAGAGTAATCTTTTAGAATGGTTGACAAGATGACATCCAAAGTGAAGTGCTAAACATGCCATCTTGAGATGCCAAGTGTGAGACCAAAATTGTAAGCTAAAACTAACCATGTGGGTTTGGCATGTCATGAAACACTTCTACCAAGTAAGCCATGTAGCATTTGCTTTCGTTGATTCAGTGATATGCACATTGTTGAAATGGGCTGTTAGAGTTAGTTGTGTATAAAGTGTGTTGCCTTTATAAGTGTCCCACATTGATAGTGAAGGTTTTAGGTATATGTACACACCTTATATAAATAGGGCTCCTTGTATTATAGTAAATTAACTAATATCAATAATATAATTTTCCCGTACTATTCTCACGTGGTATCAGAGCTACCATGAGAGATTCATCGTTGTACAAAAATACCAGCTGACTCCGGGAAGAAGAAATTAGTTAAACGAATAATTTTTCGGTGACCGTAGGTCTGTCTGCATGGAAGTCCTTTTATGTCAGTGTTGTGCAAAAATCAATACCACCACGAGCTCCTGCGACCAACCCTTAAAAGTTCCTTTGGCAGAACCCCTCTCATGTGCTGCCTAAAGGAACTTTTCCGGCGAGATTCCAACTCACGCGCCGACACGTGAGGCATCCAACAACTTTTTTTATTTTCCGGGTACTTGTTGCAGATTTCGGGGACTGTTTCTAGTTTTCAGCGGCTACAATGTCCTTTTTCTGTTGCTTCTTGACTTTCTACGAGTTACTGCTGCTTCTTGATTATTTGGTTCAATAATGTCTTTGGGAGTTGATGTTTTTGGTTCCAAAAGCGCGTGTTCTGGAAATTCAAGCGTGATGATTACTTCGGAACCTTTAATGGGAGTTGTGGTGCAAGGGTCAAGGTGTTCAAAATCACCTAACCAAATAGGTGGGTGACAGAGATGAAAAGGCCAACGCATTTTGGGAGAAAATTGAGGCTTAATTGTATAGTCTCTTGTGGCGATCTATTGATCCCAAGATAATGCGTTTCTTTCGTCCATTCCAGATTTGTTATTCAGTTTGGGAGAAGGCTCATACTTTATACACTAATGACATATCCCGTTTTTATGAGGTAATATCTCGGATGACAAACTTAAAGAAACAATAATTGGATATGTCTACTTACTTGGGACAGGTGCATGCAGTCACGGAGGAATTTGAGAAGTTGATGTCAGTTGCTGCTAGTGTTGAAAAATAACAGGAGCAATGACAGAAAACTTTTTCTAGCTCTTGCACTTGATGGACGTCCTAGTGACCTCGTTCGGTGCATGACTAGATTTTAGCTAGTCCGACTGTTGTTACAGTTGATGAACTATTCTCATGGTTGCTTCGCTTTGCTGCGCCACCGAGTTACATAGTGGTCTCGCCACCAACTGCTAACTCATCAGTTCTCGCGTTCCAGACAGTGGAAAATCAAACATCTCGGACTATGAGGAATAGACGAGGATGAGGTCATTTTGAAACATCACGGCCCAAGTGTGCTTATTGTAATAAGCTCGGACACGCTCGTGATGTGTGTTACTCTTTGCATGGTCGACCACCTAAAAAAGCTCTTGTTGCTCAGATCGAGATTGCAGATAACAAGGGGTTTTCTTTATTTGAAAGGGAGTATAATGAGTTCCTCCAATATCGAGTAAGTAGACGCCTCCACAAATAGCCTCTATTGCTCGAATTGATCCTTCTATTGCTGGTAATTCTTTTGCTGGTGTTTCCTAGTCTACTACTCTTGAACCATTGGTCATGGACTTAGGCGCCTCTTCATATTTCTGATAATAAGTTCCTTTTGAATATTGTTTATTCACAGTCTTTTTTCAATGTTACTTTAGCAAATAGGGTCCAAACAAAAGCAAAAAGACGGGCAATGATTAGAATGGTATTACTACTCTGAAGCAACATATCTTTCAACACTTCTAGATTAAGGATCTAGGCAGATTAAAGTACTTTCAAGGTATCGAGGTCGCTCAGTCTAGCTCAGATATTGTTATTTCACAAACGAAATATGCTTTAGACATTCTTGAGGAGACAGGAATGATGGGCTGCAGACCTGTTGACATTCCGATAGATCCGAATGCTAAGCTTCTGCCAGGATAGGGGGAGCCTCTTAGCAATCCTACAAATTATAGGCGGTTGGTTGGCAGTTGAATTACCTCATAGTGACTAGACATGGCATTTCATTTCCCTATGAGTGTTGTAAATTAGTTTATGGAATCTCCCTATGATAGTCATTGGAACGTAGTTGTTTGCCAAATCTTCGATATATAAAATCAGCTCCAGGGAAAGGATTGCTATTCGCGGATCGAGGCCATGAGCAGATTGTTGGATACATATATATTGATTGGCAGGATCATCTTCTGATAAACGTTCCGCATCTGGATATTGTGTTTTTATAGGAGGTAATTTGGTCTCTTGGAAAAGCAAGAAATAAAATGTAGTTGCTCGATCTAGCGCAAAAGTAGAATATCGAGCCATGGTTATGGCAACATGTGAGCTAGTTTGGATCAAACAGTTGCTCAAAAAATTAAAATTTGGAGAAATCAATCGGATAGAACTTGTGTGTGATAATCAAGCCGACCTTCATATTGCATAAAATCTAGTGTTCCATGAGAGGACTAAACACATTGAGATTGACTGTCACTTCATCAGAGAGAAGATACGCTCAAGAGATATTGTTACAAAGTTTGTGAAGTCAAATTATCAACTTGCAGATATTTTCACCAAGTCCTTCACTGGTTCTCGTATTAGTTATATATGTAACAAGCTCGGTACAATAATTTTATATGCACCAGCTTGAGGGGGAGTATTAGAGTTAGTTCATGTACAAAGCTTGTTGTGTATAAGTTTCCCACATTGATAGTGAAGGTTTTTGGTATATGTACATACCCTATAAAAATAGGGCTCCTTCTATTATAGTAAATTAACTAATATCAATAATATAATTTTCCCGTGCTATTCTCATAGGGGCAACAATTTAGAATTCAGCAAGGTCCATTACTTTACATGGTAGAGCTAGGTCTATCCCTGTTTGAGCCCCTGTGTTATATTGTCCATGCTCCAGTTGACAGGTCTGGATTTGGGGAGTTGGGGAGGGAGTGGGGTGGTAGAGTGGGTTAGAGTCTCAAAAATTGGCTGGGGAATGGGATGGTTGTCTCATTATATGAACTTGGGCGATTCTCCACTCTTCATATAACTTTTGGGGTTAAGTTAAGCCCAAGGTTCATTTCTTCACGAGCTCTTTCACTTTTCTTCGGTCTGGTTTAGTTATCTTGATCAATTAGAAGACAACTGAGGCCTATAATGCTTCGTAAATCGTTTTGGAAAAGGAAACTTGCACTATTTTCCAAAGCATTTTGCAGTTTAATTTGCATGAACGATAACAAAATATTGCTGAATTACTAACTATGATGCTCTGATATTTGGGGGTGGGGAGGGAACTGATTTGTGATGCAGAACCCAATACTATAATTCTTTTGAGAAACAATAGATTGCGACCTTGTGCAGAACCAGCAAAATCATACTTTGAGGTTGTAAGAACACAATTTGAAACCTAATAGTGTTTACCGAGGATATTGTGTACACTTGAATAGTGATGTTATGCAAGTTATATACGATGTTGAGAAATTGGGTTGGTATATGCTGATATTACTGCCCGTTCTTTTCTAGAACTCTGATTATTTTTGTATAACTTTTTTGTCATCCCCATAGTTTTCATGTTTTCCCATATATTGTTTTTTCTTGGAAACTCCTACAGGCAACTATATTTTCTGTATGATCTTAATGATGTACTCCTGATATTTAATTATGAAAATGTTGCAGGGGAACTTATCTGGTCAGAGACAGGGCCAACCTGTATTTATTACCAGATTAGAGGTATGTTTTAAACTAGTCTAACCAGATTTTCTAGTTACTACAAGTTGTTTAAGTGATAGTGTTTTAAAGAAGGAACTCCGCTTTCGTGTTGACGGATGAAATATTGTGCAAATTATGTCTTCATGTTGTAAAATGGTTTGCTGAATCCCTACTGATTGTGTAAAATCTTCTGATCTAATTTCTTGTGGCAGGGGTATAGGAGTGCCTCAGCTTCTGAATCGTAAGTTTTCATTTTCATGAATGCTTGGTTTAGTGATTTCCCAATGAATAACTCTTACAAAATTCATGTTGTTGCAATGGCGTTATCCTGTATGTTGACTTGTAAGGGGAATATACTTTGTCTTCCATAAGTTGTAAGGCGAGTATGTTATGTCACGACCCAAATCCCATCTAGTCGTGATGACATCTAACCTAACCCGCTAAGTATGTCAACCAATATATAACATCGCCCACCTGTAGATCAATAAAATAAATAAAGAAATAAGAATGCGAAATTCAATACAAACTACCTCAAGATCTGGTAGTACAAGTCGTGAGCCACTAAGATTTATAATTTCAATGTTGGTATGAAAAAATACATTATTTATTTGAATATATATAAACAGAAATACGATTCCTAAACTACCATAATCAAATAGGTGCTTGCAATTGGAACGCTGGCGCATCTTCAATGCTAGCCTTCGGTTTCCACAAGGCTCAGCTCTAAATCTACACGTGAGATGTAGAAGTTTGGTATGAGCACAATCTACCCCATGTACTCAGTAAATATCAAGACTAACCTCATCGAAGTAGTGGCGAGGTAATCTAGATAACTCACTTATATAACCTGTGCAACTCATAAGCATATACAATAACAGAGAGTAGCCAAGTAACAACAGATATCAATAATAGTGTGCACAATCAAATATAAAGGTAATAAGCAATGCTTTTTCAAATAATCAAATCAAAATCATATACAAACGCACCAAATTCACATATAAAGGAAATATACACCAAGTATCATTAACTCGAATACTTATACATGAATGTTGAGTGTCTATGCAAGATAAATATCCAATTTTAAATCAATTCACAAATAGCATTTATATGAATGCTCGTATACGAGTCTAAAATATCTATGTATGATGAAGACTCAACCTTTATATCAATACGACACTCTCCAAGTGTCCAACAATTCACAATCAAGTCCGATGCATGTGGAAAATGCATGAATGTGCATATGTAGATGATATGCATGAATATGTCTACATAAGCCTAGAATGTCAATATATGAGAAAGACTCGAACTTCACAACAACCGGCACTCTCAGTGCCCGTCACTTCGGTGTCAAATTGTGTACACACGACCCAAGGTAAAACGGGTGATCACGTGACTCCAAAGAGATGAATCCAAATCCATGCGCCAGAGCATTACAACTCTCTAATCAAATTATCAATATCTCAGAAATCAGTCATTAATTCACACAGAATGAACCATCATGCCATCATCATAAAAACCGCACGGCATAAACAATCGTGCGATAACAATATTAACCGCATGACATAAACCATCGTGCCAATCTCAATCCATATCAGAGAACCATATGCAAGAATGTATGCATATGAAAAAGAGATAAGCATGGATGATACATATGGACAAAGAAATAAACGTGTAGGGATGTATGCATGTGTACAAGTATGACTACGACTACAACATGTAATCCAATATACAATATAACCCATCATGTCTAAATAGGGATTCAAAGGCTAGACATGATCAGCAGCATAACCCCACGAGTCCAAATATGTGAGTAGTTTCCAAATCCGAGTCCAAATTGGTGTTCAAAACCTCAAAATCCATTTTTTTAAAGTTTTGGACAAAAACCCCAATTTCTCTTGTCCAGTCCCATGTTTTGATGTTAAATCTAGTGATAGATTCGTGTATAACTCATAGACTTAGGTTAGAATCACTTACTCCAAGCTTGTTGATAAAATTACTCTAAAAAGTCACCTCAATTTAAGCTTCCTATCTCCCAAAATAATCAAAATAAACTCCAAGTACTAACAACAACAACATACCCAATATAATCTCACACGTAAGATCTGGGGAGGGTGGTGTGTACACAGACCTTACTCCTACCTTATGCAGGAAGATGGCTGTTATCAAGAGACCCTCGGCTCGAGCAAACACAGTCACAACAACAAGAAAATTGAAATATAAAAATAGTAGAGTCATATGAAAAAAAACGAGATAGTAACTAACCGAAGCTGAAGCATCACCTGAAAATACTAGAAATCCAAGAAAACTCCAAGTACTAAATGGGCTTATATATAACAATTGCATAAATTTTCAGAAATGATAGCATGTCCTCCCTCTCCCTTCACTAAAACAGTCATAACTTTTTGTAAAAATGTCGGAATGACGAACAATATAAATTTTTGAAAACTAGATTCAAAGCGCTATAACTTTCATTTGAACCTTATTCGCAAATTCCTCGTAGATAGTGAGCAATATCGTCAAGTGCAGAAAAGCCTCGTTTCAACACTTTTAAATCTTTCAATACTCGCTCCAAACCCATCGAAACCCACCCGAGCCCTTCGGGACCCCGTCCAATCATCCCAACAAGTTTGTATACCCTATCCAAGCTTGTCCAAATTCTTAAAACACATCCGGAAACATCATAACTAAGCTCCTGTTTGGCCATAAAATCTGGGAGCCTTTTTTCAAATATCTGTTTGTTTGTAGATTTTAATCGTTTTTTGGCAGATTTTGAAAACAAAATATTCAAAGCCCAAAAATAGCTCTAGAGCAGTTTTTGAAGTTTTCTACGCACAAAACTTTAAATTCTTTTCAAGTAAAATACATGTCCAGCCACAATTTTAACTTTCAAAAATCATTTTGCATCTCTTCTTCAAAAACTCGTTTTTTGAAGTTCCAACCAAATCTATGTCCAAACGATAGCGAAGAATCAAAATCCAACCAAATATGAACTTTCTTAAGTTCTTCAAGTTTCAAATTTTTGAAAATTGGTCTAAATCATTTTCAAATCCTTTGAACCACCTCTAAACGATCCCAATAAGTCCAAATAACCTTTATGAACTTATTCAAAATTTCAAAACACGAATCGAAGTGCAATAACACAAAAGTCAAACTTGTGAACTTTTAAGTTATTCAAATTGCGAACTTTCAACTTATAGAGCCAAATCAACCCCGGGCCACTCTAGACCCGATCTGAACAAACGTACAAGTCTAAAATAATTATATGAACCTATTGGAACCTTCAAATTTTGACTCCGAGTCCGTTTACCCAAAATGTTGACTTTGGTTAACTCTCTTAACTAAAAGCCTGTAGTTTTCAACAAAGTATCCCAAATCACTTCCGGACCTCTCGGAACCTGAACCAACTACACATGCAAGTCATAAAATATAATATGAACCTACTCAAGGCCTCCAATTGCAGGACAGGATGCTAGAACTCGAAACTATCGGTTGGGTCGTTCCGGTTATTGAGTTTGAAAGAAGGATTTTACAGAGTAGGTTTAGCTATGTCACTGTCTTTTCCATCTTCAAATTGCAAGAAATTTTATTCTACACCTAAAGAACTCATATTACAACTTAAAAGTAAAAGGTATATCTGAGCTCTGTTGTCCTGATGCACTTGATCTCTTAAATTTAGCAAGATCAGCAAACGGTAGAGCGACCAAGCATTTCATGATTAGGCTTTAAGAACTTGTTTCTTTGTGAGAGATCAGTCTTTTATAAAGTTTTTTCTCTACAACTGAGACATTATTCTGTTTCAAGAATGCAAAAGGCAAGTGTAGACATCACTCAGCACAGAGAGACATTTTAAATTTTGTATTATTGGTTGTTTGCGCTCCCATGACAGTGCCAAATTATTTGCCTTGAGTATTTGGAAAGCCAAAGGACACAACATAGCTATATGCGGATGTTCTTTGCCTTTGCATCCTTAATCTATGCACCATTTTGTGATTTCCACCTTTTTTCTTTTTCTTTTTTTTTTTGTAATTTGCCCCTCAATCTATTCATTTTTGTTAAAAACAAAAATTAAGTTTATTATCTGAGGGTAAAATAGGAAAAAGTGTTCCTATAAAACAAACCTTCAACCCTCCTTTTTTTGGATATCCTAATAAAGTGTTTATATGTCATCAAACTCGATATTTAACAATTGCAACTTCGTAGTGCCTTATGACGATGATCAAATATAATAACACACTTGAAGGATCAGATTTTATCTACTTATGTTGTTTTATCACGAAAATTTTGTCTCTACTGTTTATATTTGGCTTTTAAATTTGTTTCGAAAACAAATTTTACCATTCTCAAAGAAAAAATTTGTTTTGAACCAAAATTTGTTAGGTTAGGAAAAATAAACTACAGTAATCTTATGATAACCAAACAAGTTGATTTTCAAGAATTGATTTCAATCAAGACCATATTTTCTAGCAGAACCAAAATAATATTACTAAAACCAAAAGCCTCCAAACACAATAATTTGGATAAAAATACTTTTAATTGAAAATATTATCTTATAAATTATAAATATTTCTAATTAAAATAAAAGTTTACGAAGTAAGTAATTCTAAGCTTAATAAGGTGATAGCCAAATCCAAAAAGACTTGTTGTTAAACAAACACTTACTAGAGTCAGGCAACAAATAGCTAATTCGCTGGTGATTGTTCGATGTCAAAGTACAACTTTTTTTGTGACTATCGTCTAGAGTTAATACATTGTTTACAGAAGAAAAAAGAAACTTCATTTTTTAATGAATAATTATAAGTGTTCTATAAGTTTTTTAAATAATTATATATGATACTTGTTAAATACCGAGTTCGGTGACTTATAAACACATTAGCATATTAAAAAGAAATGGATTGGTAGGTTCATTCGGGACACTTTTCCTATTCTACCCTTTAAAAATAAAATTTATTATGATTTAGTAAAGAAATGAATTGGCTAGGGGGCATTTTACAAAAAAATAAGAGGATATGGTGCAAATCACAAAAGAACATAGAATAGGGCTCCAAAATGTAAAGAATATGGTGGCAATTCAAATAAGTGAAATCAGAAGAAACGGGGATTGGTGGGCCTTTGACATCAAAGGTACTAAAGGAATCTCGGAGAGATAATGTGCCCAAAAAATTACAGATAGGATAATATTTTGGGTTTACGAAGAGTGGGCTGCCTATGGATATGAGAGAGGAAAACAGGAATATAATTGGTCTTAGTTGTACCCTTCACTTAGATGACATCACTGGTTCGACAAGCATCGGTCATCTTTTGCTTCACTGTGAGGCAGCTGCTGATTTATGCGCCTTCTTACTTTAATACTGGAAAATGAGTAAAGTAGAGTTGCTTGGGAAAAATGAGCACTAATAGAATTGCAATGGTAATAGAGAGTTTAGAAAGGTAACTTTTTGTCTTTTTTTTTTTTTTTTTTTAAAAATAACCCTGTGGCGGAAAAGTTATTAGAAGTACTCTTAAGGTGTAGGAAATCCAATATGAAGACCAGTCCTCTTCCACATTTTTGGTGCAGGGGGGAAAGCACCATGTTATTGATTCTTGATGGATTTTGTCGAGGCATTGAACTTGCATATTTATTCTGTTAGTGTGTCTAGTTGGTATAGATAATATCTAAATGCTATAAAAATTGGAAGCAGTGGTTTATGAAGGGTGGACTTTCCATCAAATTGAAGATAAGCAGCAGAGAAACCTTCCAAGATCTCCTCTACCGTTGGATAGAGAAATGAGATCTGCTACCAAGTTTGAAGTGTTTGAAAAACAGGATTAAGCTAGATGCAAATTTCTGGGGTGTGCTAGCGGCGTTAGTCGGACGCTTGCGACTCCTTTTGATGAAAGCTGGACTTTCTCCAGATTGCATACTGGCTGATTAGCAGCAATCTGGAAGGAATCTGATTTGTTATTTTAGTTCTCAGTTAGAGGCTTTAGTCAAGGTGAAAGTTTTCTAAAGAAAATGTACTTTCTGCTTTAGATTTCTGGAAGCTACGTAAGAATGACATCCAAGATGCTCTTTTATGTATTTGAAGCAGAGGATGTCAATTCTGTATGCTTATGTGGAAAATAGCCTTTTTGTTCCTCTGTTATGCATCTTGAGTCTACTTTTTCACTGCTATAAATCAGTGTTTATTTACCTATATTAACACCTTGAATTGATTTGTCCTTTGTCTTTGATCAGGCTTGCTGCAAATTGGCCCCCAACAATGCAAATTGTTCGCCTCATTTCCCAGGATCATATGAATAACAAGTAATTCTTTTTAGACAAATTATAGTTTTGCTTGTTGCATCGTTTTCATGTTAGGAACAGAAAGTCATGCACAGTGCAATTTATCTGAAATTTACATTTTTGTTTTATATCAGACAATATGTTGGGAAGGCAGATTTTCTCGTTTTTCGGGCAATGAACCAGCATGGATTTCTTAGTCAACTGCAAGAAAAGAAGCTTGTAAGTTTTCTTAATTTCAAAGCTTGAGTTTCTGCAGCTAGAGAAAGCCCAATTTCATTGTAGTTCTTTCATTGGTTTCCTGTGTCTATGTTGCAGCCATATAAACTGCAGTGTTCTTGTTTATGGTAGTGTTCTTTAGTTATAAGATTGAATTTCTGCAGCTAGGAAAAAACCGGATCTGATTGTAGTTTTATTAGTTTACTGCGTCGGTCTTGCAGCAATGTAAACTGCACGCGCATATGCAAGTTGAGAAATAGTTTAGTGTTATTGTTTATGGTGAATGATTTGAGGTTGATACTCTTACTCCGATATACATGTATGTATCGCCACCGCATATGAACGTGCATCTTAAGTATTCCATTTTGTAAAGAAAAAGGACTTGGGCCTAACTGAACCCAAAAGATAGCTAGGATTGTCCAAGACCACCATATAAGGAGACAATAGCCCATCCCTTCAAGCAACGTGAGACACTTAACAGTTAACATTCCCCATATGCCTAGGGTTGGACATTTAAAGCGTGGACAATATAACATAGGGGTCCAACATTGGGTAACCAAGAATAAGGTTGGGTCGGGCTCTAATACCGTTAAAAGAATAGACTTTGGGCCAAACTCAACCCCAAAAGGTAGCTCATGAGGTGAATATTGTCCAAGATCGTGTAAGGAGACAACAAGTTGTAGCAGGTTCTCAAGTTGAAAACTAGCAGATTTGAGGCTTATGAAGTAACAATATGATTGATTGAATAGCTATTCGAAGTGAAGGTATATCTTGTCAAATTGGTCTTTGAAACATGGTGAAATAGGGTAACCTTGTGGTATTACATCATGTGGAAGTTGGCATTTGCCTGTTAAATGATTTTTAGGTTCGTCATTATCTCCTATGCTGTTATCGTCATTACTTGGAGTAGATGAATCAGTCTATTGCTTTTCCTTTCCTGTGGATTTAAGAACGGGGCTTATTCTAGTACATCAATAGTAAAACTGTTGGAATTTTGATGCATCGGCAAGCAGCAGAAATAGTTGTTGGCTGGTAACTAAAGAAGTCATGCGGGTGTTTGATATTATCTCCAGAATTGGAAAGTTTACTGCAAATGTTAATTGAAATCAAGTGCACTGCAAGTGAAATCTACTTTTCCTTTCTGCTTGGTTGATGGGTTGAAATTTTCTTGCTGAACACCTGATAACCTTGCTGAACATCTTACCAAGTATAGCAATCTTGTTTTTGCATCATTGTGAGAATTTATGATTTAGAGTCATTCGTGTCCTTAATCTCTTTTTTTGAGGAAAAAGGATGACATTCCTATGCCTAGCTAATTTCGTATCTTCAAGCAGAGCATACATATTCAACTGCTTAGAACATCTATTTTTCCCGATGAACCATGTATCTCTTTCTCTCTGCCACTTCAAATTTATTAAAGATTTACTATGAGAGTTGAATTCATTTTACAGTTAAAATCTGCTTCAGAACTAAAATGCATTCTCAGGAGAAATTTTTGTGAGAACGTATTGTTATTCTCATGAAGGCCTATCTACAAGTGGCTTGCATGTCCTTTTCCAAACCTTCTGTTGACAATATATAGTATGTGTGAATGTGTCTATCTGGAGAAGGGCTGGCTATTTTTAGGAACGCAGTTCTGTAGATCTACATCGATCTTGTTCTTTATTTTATAAATCGTTCCAAAAGAAGCTTTCTCAGTCTTATAACAGGTCTGATGAACTAAACTTGTGCTTTTCAATAACAAAGTGTGCAGTAATACAACTACCTTCACAGACGCTGCTTCTCTCTGTGTCTGATAAAGCCTGCCGCTTGATTGGAATGCTTTTTCCTGGGGTAAGAATTGTTTTGCATTCTTATCATAATTTTTTGATGATCAATTTTTTAAGAAGTTTTCAGAATGAACTCACAGTGCATGAACCTTCAGTGTAATGCCACTTTGGTGTTTTCAGGATATGGTAGTGTTTAAGCCACAGATACCAAGTCAGCAGCAACAACAGCAGCAGCTGCAAGCACAACATCCGCAGCTACAGCAGCAACAGCTCTCCCAGCAACAGCAGCATCTTTCACAGCTACAACAGCAGCCCCTTCAACAGCTGCAGCAACAGCAACCTCTCATGCAATTGCAGCAACAGCAGCAGATTCCATTGCAACAACAATCACAGATTCCCCAAATGCAGCAGCAACAGATTCACCAAATGCAGCAGCA